ACCCCAAAGGAGCTCGGGAAAACCTCTACTACTTCTCAATGCTTGCCACAACTCTTTGGAACACCTTGACTGTGGTGGTGAGCCAGGATACTGCCTTTTAAAGTTTTAAAAAGCTGGTTAAGGCTGAGATCTTTAAAGAGGTATTTAAGAATATCCTTCCCCTGCAGTAGACTTTTTTTGGACCTTCAGTGCTTAATTTTGTAGTCTTTATTTCACTATTGCCAGAGAGATTATTGATATATTTTATCTATTAAAGTTCATTATCACTCTTGTTTGGGGTTGGATGGATGAGTTATCCCCTTTTTGTTGTGAACTGCCCAGAGTGGTGGTTTCCACTAGATGGGTGGTATAAAAATATAATACATTTTAAAAATATTGAAAAATACTGCCACGGCTAACAAAAGATTTAACCACCAGTTCAAGTGGCTTTTGTACATCCGATAGGAAGGGACTCTCATCTTGTCGTTCGTCTTGGAAATAGAAACATGTTACTTCTGATGGCTGCTCATGTGTGCCATTACAATTAAATTGATGAACAAAGCATAGAATCCAAAGCATAGAGCTTCATGGCACAGTGGTTAAACTGCAGTGCTGCAGCCAAAACTTTGCTCACAACCCGGGTTCAGTCTCACGTCACCAGGTTAACTCAGCCTTCCATCCTTCCAAGATCCATAAATTGAATACCCAGCTCTCGGGTGGGTGGGTGCCCAACATGTAGCATGCATAATTACATTGTAAACCGCCCAGAGAGTGCTTGAAGCACTATGGTGTGGTATATATAAGCAGCATGCTTTTCTACAGAAGACTTCTACAAATAATTTTGCAAATGGGACTGGAAATTTAAAGCACCTGAAATGTTTACTGCAGTACCTTTTATTCCTTTAGGCTGCAAATTGAAATTCCCCCTTAGCTGTAGGTAAATTGTACTACATTCTGTACAACTTACTGCTGAATAGATATGTGTAGAAGTGCACCATTTTTTTTATCCAGTAACTGTTTAAACTACATTTCAATAAACTAAGTCCACAACAGGAAACAAGAATATGATCAATCAAGAAGCACTCACAAAATCAATGAAGCAGTGAAATAAATAATAAAAACAATCAGATAATTTCCAAGAGCGGTGGCAAGCAGTAATTGCAACTGTAGCTGAAATAGCCAGGATACAAAAACGAATGTGATTTTTAAATGACTTTTTTTTCCAAAATAGCAGGGGAAAGGACGGTTAAATTAACTGAGCTCTTGTTCTAGTGGATTTCTTGGTTAAAATCTGGGGATATCATTGAACTTCTACATTTGGTCAGAGAAGAACCTTCATTAAATTAATTAACAATAATGTGTTGTCAAGCTGTTTGAAACATACGGTGATCTTTCTAGGTTTTCTAGGTTGAAGACTCTTAGGTATGGTTTATCAGCCCTTCCTTCCTTCTGGAAGCGTGCAGCCTTCCCTAATGCTACATTGGGGTCAGGACATCATCAATGCACACTCTGATTGATCTTGTCTGGCCCCTTTCCTGGCAGCCACAGTGGCCAAGTGAATTCTCAGCCCATTTATGAACTACAGTATAACAGCTCTGACAAGAACCTTCCTTTAACACTGACTTTCTGTTTGCGACTTCTCATACCAAGCCCTGCTAGATTTTGCTGTTGTACCACACTGCAAGCCAATTTTTCTTGTCCCTCCCCTCCCTGTCCCTTCCCTGACAGTGACAAACGACAGGGGAGAGAAAAGGAATGGATTTTCCATCTCTCTTTCTTCATCACTCTCAGAGAAGTCTGTAACTCAAAAAGTCTGTAAGTTGAGCCGTCTGTAAGTTGAGGGTCCACTGTACAGTATAACAGCTCTGACAAGAACCTTACTTTAACACTGACTTTCTGTTTGCGACTTCTCATACCAAGCCCTGCTAGATTTTGCTGTTGCACCACACTGCAAGCCAATGTTTCTTGTCCCTCCCCTCCCTGTTCCTTCCCTTACAGTGACAAACAACAGGGGAAAGAAAAGGAATGGCTTTTCCATCTCTCTTTCTTCATCACTCTCACATACAGATTAACTGTGAACAGTGGTAGGAACCCCTAGGAACTGTAGGAGTTCTCAACTGGAAGGCTGCACCAAGACAAGATCATTTGGGGCAGATTGGGGGCTAGGCAGGAATGGCAACGATTAGTAGGGACAGGATGCATCTGAGAATATCTTAAGGAAGTGAAAGAATTTCTTTTGATTTCCTTTTCCTCACCTGTCTCATCATCACATGTAAAGATGGGGGATCTCATTTTCCCCTCCTTGCCTACAAGAGAACAAGATAATCTCTAATGCTATTAAATGAGGTAGGGAACAACCTGCAGAGTTTGCAAAGCTACTTTGCAAAGGTACTTTAAAGGAGAATGAATATAACGACAATCTTAATAATGGAACAGCAATTAGAGAGAGCTTCAGAACACGATTATACTCATTTTCTACCTATCTGATCTCTCTTCTGGTTAAAACAACAGCCCATGAAATAGATGAAATACGGAGTTACCTGGGGACTCTCCCTAATGAACAGACTGGTCAACAGTAATGTCAAACCAGGCACCAAACAACTCTGTGCTATTAATCCCAGTTTGAGTTCAGCAAAACAGATGACACTGTCTCCTTTCTTCCAGTCCCAGTTGGGAAGCTTTGGCAAGTAGAGCTGTTTCAGAAGGAAAAAAAATGGAGATGTGTGGGAGGCAAATGGTGGAAAAAATTTAGCCTTTTCCTGACTAAAACAAAATTAAAAAGCCACACACGACCAATTGCAACACCTCCTCCCATGCACATCATTTTAATGTGAAGTGAGAACACAATTATTTATTATTCTACAACACTTATATTTCTCTCTCTCTCAATCTCTCTCTCTCTCACACACACACACACACACACACAATTATTTTTAAAGTAACAAACAGCACCTCAAACATGTCTATTTTGAATCCTATAAGAGAAGTGGTGAATCACTTAACACTAGGTTAAAACTATTAGAATGAACAACAAAATAGAAATGTCTGAACATTATGACAAGGCATACCTGTTTCCACCTTTTTTCTAAAAGTGTATAACAACTATATAAGGTTTGGAACCACTGTCTTAGGAGAATGCTTCTGTTCAGAATTCAAACCTTCCAGCCTTGTTTTCCTACAACATTTTCATCCCCTCTTCCCAAGTTTGCAATTTTTCTTTTCCAACATACCCCCAATAGCCTATGCCTACTGATCATGCACAACCTCATTTGTATTTTTGACGGTTTAAGGGTGGTAGTGTATGCCACTTAATTTTTTTTTAAGAAAAAATACTTCTGCAAGCCTTGGGGTTTCCCTGAGAATGCTTTATTGTTACTTCTCAGTGGTTTTCTTCCGGTTCCTTGTCTATTGGATTTTTTCTACCTGAATTCACAATTAGAGAAAGTGATTCCAAGTTCTCTTAAAGTAAATCTATTGAAAGAATGGGACTTCCAACCTCCCAGACACAGAGGGTCCTAAAGCATGGCAGGGAATGTGGGACAGCAAAAACACAGCTTCAGTATAGCAATGGGGATGACACGCAAAAATGACGCTTCATCTTTTTGCCCCCCCAAAAAGGGGCAAATTGCTGCCCAGTGACCTGATGAACCACAATCTATTTGTTGGTTTGTCGGGTCAATTTTTTTTTAAAGACAGCCCCTGGGGCTACCTAAAAAAAGCTACTCCCCCCCCACAGCTTTCTTATGCCACGTGGCATATGAAGAGGGGGAAAGGGATCAAGGGGATCCCCCAGACCTACTGCCTTTGCAAAGGCAGCAGGGCTGGGGAATGGCTTGGGTCCGGCTTTGATCCCTTCCCTCCTCTTCCTATGCCATGCAGGCACAGGAAGGGGAGGAAAGGGGAACCAAGCCATCCTCCACCCCAAGGGTAGGATTCTCTTCAGGCAGGCTTTAGCAAGCTACCCTAAGGGAAAACCCCTCTCTGCTTATGCCCCTGAGGAACATAAGTAGGGGCATAAGTAGATAGGGTATGAAGGGACAAATATAAAAGGGTGATATGCTTGTCAACCGCCCTGAATGGCCTTTGGCCAGATGGGCGGTATATAAATTAAGCAAATAAATTAAACAAATGAATAAATATTTGTTGCTTCATATTCGTCAGGGTCTCTGGACCCCAAGAATATAAAGCAGCGAATATCTGATGAATCCGGGATATTAGTTGACTATCCTGATTCATTTTTCTATTCATCCCCATTTCTACTTCATTAGAAATCAGTCAATAGGAAATTGACGGCACCTCTGCTTCCATGAGCAGGAATGCTTACTATTCACATTTAGAGCTGATCTTTAAACTGCATCTCTGTTATTTCCTCAGAATGGATGGATGGATTGATGGATGGATGAATGAATAAATGAACTCCCAACCTTGTTAGAAGACTGGATGATCTGTATTATGACTCTGGTATTTGGGTAGTGGTTCTTGATGGACAATACCCTATATGAAAAACATAACCATTGATAAGTCTACTTCTTGTGGCCATAAGTTTAAAACACATTAGCACCAGCAGCTGCTCAAAGTGGCTCATTGCAATATTTCTCTTATTTAGCACAGCACTAAAACTGAAATGAGCGACTGAAAGCCACTAGCCAGGAAGTCTGTCTGGAAACTTAAAGCAGATAAAAGGGCCCTCCCAAAGTTATTGGCTTCCAAACCCATTTGCCAATACTCAATTTTTCCCACCATTGAATATGGTGAATGACAATGGCCATGCTACCTGAGTAGAATGCAAATCATAATCCAGCAGAACTGGTGGGCACCATGATAGGGAATGGAAAACTAATAAAATCCAAGACTGAAAAGCCACATGGCAAAATCTGTCTTACCTCATGATGTTGGAAGTGTCTTCCACATAAGGCTGAGCAGAACAGGTGTCAGCTAAGATGAGGCATGCTTCAGCGTATTCCATCTGTTTCCCAAGACAGTGATTTCAGCCTGATAGTCACACAGAGCTTATGTTCATTCTTTACACACTTGACAAAGTGATTAATGTCCAGTTTAAGGCCTATTCTCCTTGCACCTGAGTGCCATGCATGAACATAGGAGGAAGAGTACAAACACTAGTTCTGCCCAACTCTTTGTCATTCTCCTCTCCCTTTGAAGCATGGCTGGGCAACACATGGGCCATGGGCTACCTCCAGGTCTCTAGCACTCAAGTACATGAATAAGACACTAGTTTTTGCTATTATTCAGGGCGCAAAATATGGAATGGAATTGTAATGAGAATGCAAAACTTTCAATGAGCTCAGAAAAAAACTGCATCCAGCTTGAATGGGGCCAGTTTCGTGGAGTTTTGTCTTACTCAGCGACCTATAGTAGTGCCCTGCTTTTGTTTTTACACATTTGCCACTACTAAACTCCAATGTTCTCTAGACAAACGGATGGAGAAAAAAAATGATATCTCTGTATTCATCCGTTTATTTACAAGTGACCAGTCTGAGTGAGGAAAATTTGATAACCTTTTCAGGAGAAGAAATATTGGTAGGTGATGAAGCTTAGTGGTGACAGTGGTCATTTCAATTTTGTTTAAACTACTCTTAGAAAGAAAAACTCCATTCCTGCATTAAAGGAGCTTTTAGAACTCCCTTCCACCCCTTTCGCCTCTCCTTGCCTCCTCTTGAATGTTCTGGATGTTCTTATTCTAGAAAAATTGAGGGGGGGGGAGAAGTTGGTGTTGGAAAATAAGTTATCCTCTCCTATTAAACAATTGGTTTCCATTCTCCCAATTCAGCATTTTGTGCAAAGGAAAAATAGTGCTAAAATAAGGAAAACCGTGACTATGAATGATAAAAAATCAGTTTTCTGATAGTACAATTGTATTTGTCCAGATCCACTCTGCACTGCACTCCTATCCTGCTTTTGTATTAGGTGTGAACACTGTCTTCTGCTTCTTACATTGACTTTTTTATATATTTTGATTTTTTATATATTTGCCCACATATTTATCTCATTGTTTTCTTCCTGCATATTTTCCACTGCACGCAATTTTTAGCTATTCATATTTAAAGTATATGTGTGATTTCATCCATACAGAAAGTACCACAAGCTTTTCAAATGCGTGATTTTTAGAGTTATATTGAACATTATCTCAAAACTGCGAAATTTTGTGCAGTAACTGGAAAATTGACACAAGATATCATTCAGGCTGGTAGAAACACTTTACCAAGACTTTACCAAGAATTTCAAGAAATTCTTCACCTTGTCCACCTTCAAGGAGAAGAATATTGCATTCTTCATCCTTCCTTATAAGGATGAGTAGAATTAGCATTTACATTTCTATATCAGAATAATGAATCAATTTGTAGATGTTGCTATTAGAAATAGCCATGAACTGCCAGTTTGGCAGTTTGTGCTGGTTTGGTTTTTTTGGCAGAACAGGTGTGTGATGTTTCCCAGCTCTGCCTCCTCCAGCAGGCGCCTCCTCTGGGTGCTGCCTCTTAGTAGTCGCCTGCTGGAGGAGGCAGGTCTAAGAAATGCCAAACATCTGTTAGGCTGAAAATTGAAGTGGCACAAACTGCCAAATTGGCAGTTTGTGCCCATTTCTAGTTCTCATTTATTTGTTTAAGAGGCAATGCAAGAAATCTGTACTTTGTCATGTGGGCATGTGCGTGTCAAACCGCCCATGCACGCACGCACGCTGTACACACACTCAATTTAGACACTGTTACATGGGGACACCCCATCAACTTCTCAATCTCATATTTCAGCTCAGAAATTTCATCCAGAAATAACTGGAATGTCACTTTTGGTTTTTAGAAAAAAATAGGACACCCAGCCCCCCCCCCCGTCAAAAAATGCCTGAGCAGAACTGCCTGCCCTGGAGACTTCCAGGTGTACTAACACACATATAAGATGCAACCAGATGTCTGCAAAGGCACATATCTGATTGCACCAAAAAGTATTTCTTTGATGGGAGCAATCTCCTTTAAAGTGACCCTTCTGTCTTCTACGGAAACACTCTATCTTGGCCCTAAAAAAGTAGAAGGCCTACAGCTTGATGGATTAGGGTTGGGCTGAAGGGCATCATGTGATTGCTGGGGGGGAGGAAGATCACGCTGCACCTCTCCCGCAAGCATTCCAGAGCGTGATAGAATTCATGTGATCACAACCGTACTTCTTTTCTCTCTCTCTCTAAGTAACTTTGTTCTGTTTTTCATGGAAGAAAACATTTGTTACAAATGTGCTTCCATGGAAGTGCAGTGCAGTGCAGTATATATTGTAGGGGCTCCATTCCCAAGGTTGCTAAGGTGTTGGCTTCATCTACAGTAGAGGGCAAACCCTCCTGGATGATGTCACAGCTGCTTCTGAAGGGCATGATTGCCCTTCTTCTTTCTCATTGGTGCTAGAGAGCTTGCTTAATTGCCTTTCCTTAGGCCAATCATAATGGCATGATGTCACCATTGTCCTATCTGAACTCTGTAGCCTATCTGTATAGTACTGTCCACTATCTGTGAGCTTTGTAAGGTTAATAAAAGCACAGTCCTCCTGGGGGTCAGGGCAGAATTCATTGGGAACCCATTCAGTGTTAATCTGCCTCTTCTACTAGTCGCCCACCAGGAGCACTGCTAGCAGACATCCCTCTGTGTGTGTCTGACTTCTTTAACTTCTGTCTCTAAGAGACTATTTGCTATCCTAATTATCTGGTGATCATCACAAAGCCCATCAGCCTTCTCATTTCATGACTCCGACATCTCATTGTCCAAACAGGTGTTTGGTGCTGTAGGGTCCGCCCAGGTCATGCATATTCATATGCTATCTGCATAGACCAATGGGAGTACTGGAGGGGTGGAGTCACGAGACATAAGAGACTCAGCAGGAGGAGGGGGAGTTTAGGTAGAGAGATAGAGGGAGTTTTGAAAGAGAGTTGAGAGAAGGTTTTGGTCTCAATCGACTAGATAGGCGGGATATAAATAAAATAAATTTAAAAAATTAAAAAAATTTGGGCAGGAAAGTGGTGGTTGAGAGGGGATGAAGGAGGGTGTTTGTTAAAAGTTAACAACATTGCTTGAATTATCTACATCTGTAACAATAAACAATTTCTATTGGGTTCCTTTAAAATGACATATAGCCTGGATCTCGGCTATTAATAATAGGTAATGTTGATGTAATCAACTGGTGGCAGCTGAGGGACAGGTAGAGTGAGCTCTTAGTTTGGTGAAACAAGCAGGGGCCACGTGGGGATCGCGACAGGTGCTTCTAAGTCCTGCCTCCTCATTGCGAGTCCACTGTTCCCTGTCCTTCTTTCTCCATGCACTGTCTCTGAGTGGGTGCCTGCTGGGGGAGGTGCAGCTGGGAAGCACTGAGCACCCATTTGGCCAATAAACAAACAGGCATGAACTGCCAAAATGAGGTTTGGAGCCATCTCTACATTAAATCCTGTTCATCAAGATGATAAGGGACTCCTACCTGAACTCTCACCAGATCTTCAGTCTTCATTACTGTTCCTTGAAAGAAGCTGGTATAGGCAGCATAACATCTGAATATAGTTTCCAGCTCAAGAGAAGGAGGGTTTCTGGATAAGAGGGGGGGGGGAAGCATATTTTTATTGCTGTTTTAGTAGTGTGCAATGCTTCATCCCTCTCCTCTGGAAATCTCTCTCAGCAAAGAATGGTAAGCTATACAACCGAATTTGCTTTTCTATGACATTCCATGCTGATATAGCCTCCCAGAAACCACTTGGAGATAGAGTTGCCATATACCCAATTGGCTGGGTTTTCCCGAGAATCTAGGCATATCATCAAATGTCCTTATGCTCGTACAGATTTCTAGCTTTCTTTGAAAATAAATGTGCCCTTATAGAAGTCAAGGTATTAGACAAAAGACAGTGTCACTACTCTATGCAATTGTTCTGTGGGAAACAAGTTTACCACTGCCTTGCAGTGGATTTAGTTAAAGAGTAAAGCTTTCCAGAGAATTAAAAATGTAGCTTTGCTATTGTCTTATGGAGAGTGGCGATGATAAGCGCCCATGGCAGTGGAGCAATTGGCTACACGAAGGACAAAGGAGGCCAGAAAATCGACTCTCGATTCCTTGGGTACATGTTTACAAAGCCTAGCTTATCTGTAGACAGCTAAGGCCTCTTCTACAGAATTGCCTCCACAAAGTGCATAGTATGAAAATCAGGTTACATAGATTTGGGAAACTGAAATATGGCAACCCTACCTGGAGGGTGCAGGTTGAAGTCCTCAGAAGCTATTGATTGGCCACTTTAAATGTTCATCTCTGGGAGTTGCCCAACCCCCAGAAGAATATCTCTGCCTGTGAAAGAAAATCCCATTGTCTTCATATGGCTAGCAAGAGAGACAAGGCAGGTATGCCCTTTGCCAGTGACTCTCAGTGTTGCCTTATCCTCCAACCCAACCCCCATCAAAAGTTTCTATGGCTTGGAAACAGAGATGAGCACCTCGCCTTAAAGTTGGACACGATTGGACTAAATGTCAAGGGCAACATTTACCTTACAATTTTTGGAACAACTTTAAAACTTCCTTTATAGAAACTTTCACCCTTCTTGGACTCCTTTTCTTGTTAGGATCTCCTACTATGAGACCTTACTTATCATTCTCCTGAGCTTATCAAAATCAGGTTTTTAAAAACCTAGCATAGATGTGTGGCTACACTCTGCTTTGGTTTCCTTTGATATCAATAATTCTAGTAGAACATGGTCACTTTCACCCAAAGTTCCCTTGACCGCCACTTCCTCCACCATCTCTATTGGTTAGAATCAAGTCAAGGATAGCTAGTCCTCTAGTTGCTTTCCCCATTTTTTGTAGGAGAAAATTATCAGCCAGCCAAAGCCAGGGATTTCATCCATAGATTTAGAAAACAAAACTTACTCTCCCAGAAAGATTATCTCAGTTGCAACATCTCCTGTAGCTTGAGCTAGGAAGTCCCTTAGGAAAGCAGTTACACTATTCAGAGTGACATTACCACAAACAACAATAAACCTGCAGGAAGAGAAAATGCCTGTAAGTGATTTTTTTTAATTTGAAAAATATAGCATGACTATAGTCCTAACCATGAATATTGGTTAGGAAATCGATCAGTTTGATAGATTTCGTAACCAATGTGATGTTTTAGGTTAGAAAAGTCAAAACACATGGACAGATGTTCATATTCTACCTGTTCCCCTACCTTTTACACCACCTCGGCTCATTAAGATTTCCAGAGAATTTGAAGTTTGCACACTTTTGTGGAATTTGGTTGAACCAAATGGTTTTGCACTTGCATGTGCTCCACATGTTTCTAAATTTCAAGATCACATGGTTGCCAGTGATATTTTGTTGTTTTGAAATAACAGTGGACATTATCCTTTTAAACACTTGTTCTGTCTAATAACTAAGCAATCCACAATTGTGTAAATGTCTTAAAGGACATAACTTCCTAACAGAGCTAAATCTAGACTTGATTAATTTCTGAGTCTAAACATGTGAGTCATCATATCTGGGACACAAACAGTTGCATTTTTGGAATGATGGAAGTGTATATTCATGAACTGTCTCTTTTTCCCCATCTTCATATTCCTTTAAGTGTATACTCTCCGTCAACAAATCCAGCAGCTATAACATCTAAGATTTAGTTTTGTACTTTTCTGCTTTTCTTATTTCCCACATCATCCCATGTTCTGTAACATATAGCCTGATCTTAAGTTGTGAAGGACAAAAAGATGGCCAGTTATATGGAACTTCGTTGGTCCAATAGATACATCTCAAATCTGCTTTTAAATTTTACTCTGCTTTAAAATTTCCCCATTCACTGAATGGGGCTTTTCTACTTTGCACTGTGGGGTACTGTTAATCCTGTTTATTTAAGTACAAATGTATTGTTGTAACAAAAAAGGAAATGATTCCCTATAGTTATAATTTTAAATTTAGGACTAGGCTTAAACATATTGCTTTATTACAAATATGGTACATTTGATCTTTCTACCAGACTGATTCATCCCAGTTTTCTAGCAAAACAAGGGTAACTGAGTGTGGACAATTCTGAGAAGTATTCACATTGAATTATTTACTTCTTTTTAATTGTGGTAAAAAATAAAATCAAAATAACTCACTTTCTGCCTTTCACCATCACATAGGAACCCTTGTAGAGCTTAGTGCTTCCAACAATGTCAGCCATTTCAGGCACCAAATTTGCAAAGAGGATCTAAGGAGAACACAGCATAATAACAATTATTTCCCACATTCAAACAAAGCTTTCATTGTCCAAGTTGAATTTTATGATATTACTTATAGGGAACAATGTACTATACAAAGAGTGCTAACTATCTTATTGTTAGTGAATTCCAAAATCTTGCCATCCTCTTTTAAAACTCCCCTATGCATCAGTGTGATTTTTTCATCTTCTTCTTGTGGAAAATGAAATCCTGGTCTTATTTTCTCATTCTCTCTCTTTTAATTCCTGACTCCAAACAGAGCACAGCTGAGCAATAAAGCCGAGGCAGACTCAGGGAGCTCATGACCAGAGTGAGTGAACAGGACGTTCCCAGGAGGGAGATGAGAATGAAAGATAGGAAGGTAAGGTCTGCTGAAGGAAGAGGAGACCAAGAAGACAAAGGCAGAGATATGAGTGGGTTTTTTTAGAGTAACAACAGGAAGAGACCTAGAGTAACCCCTAGAAATTGCCCAAACAGAAGCAACAGGTACTCAGCTTAAGAGCTATATGCTCAGCAGAAAAGGCAGGGTGTGTGTCCTTAACAGGAAGAGCCGTGTGATTGGCCTAACAGAAAGGGGAGTGTCCTTATTAATGCTGAGAGCTATAAGTAGCAGCTGTGAGTTCTAGAACAGCTTTTTGACTCCTGACTCTGAACAGAGCACAACTGAGGAGTAAAGCTGAGGCAGACCCAGGGAGCAAAAGAAAAACAGTCACTGTGCAAACATCTAGAAAACAGTGCAGTAGTATCTAGAAGCCAACATGGATTTGTCAAGAACAAATCCTGCCAGACTAACCTGATCTTATTTTTTTGATTGTGTAACCTCTCTGATAGACAGAGAGAATGCTGTAGACATCATATATCTTGACCTCAGTAAAGCTTTTGACAAAGTGTCCCATAATTAGCAAGCTAACTAGGTGTGCGATGATACACAGTTGGCTACAGAATTGTACTCAGAGGATGATGATTAATGAGTGCTTCTCCAACTGGAAGATAATAAGTAGTATACTCCAAGCCTGAGTCCTTTTTTATTACTGGCCTGGATGAAAAAGTGCAAAGAATACTTGTCAAATATGCGGATGACACAAAATTGGGTGGAATAACTAATACATGGGAAGACAGAAACAAAATTCAAAATGATCTTGATAGGCTGGAGCACTGAGCAGAAACAACAGAACAGAATGGAATTTAACAAGGATTGCTGCAAAGTACTGCACCTTGGAGAAAGAAGACAATTGCAAAGTTACAAGATAGGGGATACCTAGCTCAGCAACACTAGAAGGATCTTGGAATTATCATAGATCATAAGCCGAATATGAGCCAACAGTGTGACGTGGCTACAAAAAAGGCAAATGCTATTTTAGCCTGCATTAATAGAAGTATAATTTCCAAATCCCACAACGTGCTATTTCCCCTATATTCAGCACTGGTTAGCCCTCACCTTTAGTATTGTGTTCAGTTCTGGACACTGCAGTTTAAAAAAGATATTGACAAATTGGAACAGGTTCAGAGGAGAACAACAAGGATGATCAGGGGTCTGGAACCAAGCCATATGAGGAAAGACTAAAAGAATTGGACATTTTTGACCATGAGAAAAGAAGACAGAGGGGTGATATGATAAAACTTTCCAAATACTTGAGAGGCTGTCATACAGAGGAGGGGCAGGATGTGTTCTCAGTCATCCCAGAGTATAGGACACAGAACAATGGGCTCAAGTTACAGAAAGCCAGATTTTGGTGGAATATTAGAAAAAAAAACTTCCTAACTGTTAGAGTAGTATGACAGTGGAACCAATTACCTTGAGAGGTGGTGCCAGTCCATCCATGTAATAAAAAATATATCTGAAAAGGGCTTTTCGTAAATAGTGGGCCAATGAGGTCACTCAGTTTAGCATCTATTTCAGTCTAGTTTCTTAAAGGAAAATAATTACCACTCACTCAATAAAGATGCATGTGGAAAAAGAGTCATGGAGTGGAGTGAAAAACACATCAACAAATAAGGAATTTAATAAAGAACTTAATGTATGTTTAATATTGCTTTTGTTTACCATTTATCAGAATGGTATTTGTAAGTTCTTTTTAAATATTTGTTTACTTACTGTTTTGAGCTTTAAATATTGTCTTGTAATGATGTAAGCCACCTTGGGTCCATTTTAAGGGGGAAAGTGGGGTAAAATATTTTAAATAAAATTAAAAAAAAAGAAAAGAAAAATAGAGGGCATTGGGCAGTAATAAAGCATCCACAAGCTGGTCTCCATATGCATAAACTGCCTTTCAATAATGCCCAGCCTGATTTAATCAAAAGCAGATCCATGCTATATTACTGGTGCAGCTCATGATGAAACTTACCAGCTCTGCTACTAAGACATTTGTTGAAAAATGCCCCCTCCCACACAGTGTTTTGCCAGAATAGTGTGGAGAACCTCAAGAGGCTAATTGTGTACAAAGGAGCCAGGAAAGGACAAAGGAAGTATAAAAACTAAATCAGACTTTAATACGCTGCGTGTTCACCCAAATCCGAGTGTAGTTTCTTACCAGACCACCAACAATGAAGAAAAGGATGAATACACGTCCTAATGTGGTTTTCACCACTACATCTCCATAACCGACTGTAGACATGGTCACCATGATCAGGTATAAGCACTCAAAGTAAGACAGGTTTTGAAAATTTTTGTGTTTCACCCAGGGATCACCAGAGTTTTCCATCTACAGAAGAATCAATAAAAATAAAAATATCAGAGAAAAATCTGTATAAACCTGGATGTCTACATTATTAATTCTTGACAATATCATATATACTGAGAATTTCAACTTTAAAAGAAAAAGAAAACTTTCCATCCCTGACTAAGTAACTGTATATAGAAAATGAGTGCTGTGGTAGGATTAGAGGAATGCTTAAGGACATTCATGATCCATTCCTCAAGGGGTGTTGCTCCCAATGAAGACATTTATTTCTCTTCTCCTACCCCTATCCTTGGCCAGACACCCAATGATATATCCACTATTCATTGGAAAAGCTCAAAGGGATGAACTGCTTTGAAAAGGCAGTTGTAATAGTTCTTGTAAATAAACCTGTAAGATCTACTGTTTGCATCATCTCATATATGACAGTATTATGATATTGATATCACCTTGAGCATATCCGTCTTATCAGCTTTTGGAAAGGTTGTACCTGATTAGTACAGGAATGGGAGACCACCAGAGATTACCACAATCTCCAGGTCAGATGAGGAATTAATCCTGCCTGAAACCCTGAAAAGGGCTCAGTGGACCAAGCCAGCATGTTTACTCTAACTAAGGTAGCTTACTATGCCATATGTTCCTAAAATGTCAGTCAGCTGTTTTCTTTTGGTATTTGGCATTAAGCCTGTGAATGAGATATAATTATTTTAAATTTTATTCTATTTATGTATCATGCAGGACTTAAGAAGTCCAAAATTAGCACTGTAAACTGGGACAAAGAAAAAAAAAACAATCCTCAATAACTAGCCAGTAACACTGATGTGAGATCTATCTTAGTCTATACACTGCAAGACCTTTTTTGGTATTTGCAGTCTTTAGTATTTGCTGCACATACCCAGTGAAGAAATCCTGCAGCCGTGAGCCAGGTACTGACAAATACAGCTAGTAGTTTCGATAGTTTGATTGCAGTCCTGAGCAGGCAAGGGAAGAGTGATAAGAGAGATAAAGCAGTGACAGGTGCTAAAGTCAGCTCAACCTCTTCCTCAAAGTATCTCTTAAATCAATCAGCTGTGTTGTTAATACAACTTCCACTGGGCACTGGGTTTTTATTTCCTATTGCTGTAGCCCAGTTGCAGATAGATATGGATTTGTTCTCTCTTTGTATTGTCCACCTGCTTTTCTTGGCCCCTGTGATTCCCTAAAGGAAACAACAATTTAAAAGTCCCTAAGATTTCTGAAGGGACATGGTGGCGCTGCGGGCTAAACCGCAGAAGCCTGTGCTGCAGGGTCAGAAGACCAAGCAGTCATAAGATCGAATCCACGCGACGGAGTGAGCTCCCGTCGCTTGCCCCAGCTCCCGCCAACCTAGCGGTTCGAAAGCATGCAAATGCAAGTAGATAAATAGGGACCACCTCGGTGGGAAGGTAACAGCGTTCCGTGTCTAAGTCGCACTGGCCATGTGACCACAGAAGATTGTCTTCGAACAAACGCTGGCTCTATGGCTTGGAAACGGGGATGAGCACCGCCCCCTAGAGTCGAACACGACTGGACAAAAAAAAATTGTCAAGGGGAACCTTTACCTTTACCTAAGATTTCTGAAGTATGCTTCCAAAATTCTCTGCATTCCAATTCCTCCCCAGAATGTAGAGTTCCAGAGTTTCTGAACTTGTATCCAATATGACACAAATGCATTGAAGCTCTTCACTGCTGTGTTGTTGGCTTATAGTTTCAAATGTTGCACAAATAACACTGTTGGCTACAGTTCTCAATGTCTGCAGTTGAATTTTACCTCTCTATTACTGATACACATCTGAACATCAATCAATCAGGTTTAAGGTTTGGGCTGGTGCTTTATCAAAACACACATGTGTATCAGTGACAGGAACTGGTTGAACAATAACTTGGTGTCATGGTTGAATAGGAGCCTTTGGTGTGATCTTTGACCAGTGCTCAAAGGGATTCCAATACTATGACTGGCAATATCAGAAGGAAGTTTTTCAAGGGCAGTCAAAAAATTAATTGTCTTCATCTGACTGTAAGGATGGAGTATTCTAAGGCAGTGGTCCCCAACCTTGGGTTTCCAGATGTTCCTGGACTACAAGTCCCAGAAACCTTCACCACCACCTCTACCGGCTAGGATTTCTGGAAGGAAGTCCAAGAACATCTGGAGGCCCAAAGTTGAGGACCACTGTACTACGAATCCTGCGCCAGGATTGCTAAGTCTCAGAGCACCAACAGAAGTAGCCAGGAACTGCTATGCTTCTCCAAGTCTCCATATGAACAAATCTAAGGATGGATGAGAACATTTCCATCCATTTTATTAAGAATGAAACATGCTTCTTAAGCAAGAAAAAACTTGAGGGGAGGCATGAGAAAGAAGGAAGGATTGTTGAGTAGAAGGTGACACTTTGCAAGTTTGGCTTACCCACTTGTGGTGACATGAAGAAACTGTAATATTTTGGGGAGTTCCATCAATCTGAGTGCTCTCAGGAACCTTAAACCTGAAGAGAGGTGGAAAGTGACGGATTAAGTATACGAGAATGCAAGGTCTTACTAATGGAGAGTACGACTATATTGAACAATCTCTGAACCCAGCATATTTCCTATGCTAAAACTGCGCAAACTTTTAAAAACATTTTTTTCTCAAGAAATGTTCCTGAAGACAGCAGATTCAGCTGCTTCAGGCTTACAAAAATAAAAGCGGGGGGGGGGGGGGGTTTCAGCACAGTTGTCATTAAAATGTTCTGGAAGTTAGCAACATGTCAGTTGAAAACCAAACAGTTGTGGCTTTTGCATAGTTGTTCAATGTAGAGCAGTTCATTGTCAATCTTCTTTAAAATATGGCCATCAAAAGTAAAACTGACACAAGAACGCTGTGTTCTTGCATTGAGATGCAGACCATCTTCAACAATCTTACACAATGTTGCACTAGAGTAGACCCACTAAATAAGTGGGAATTTGGAGTCAGCTTCTCCGTAAGTTCCACTAGGCCCTCTCTAGTTGTGGCTTATTTTTGGAAGCTCCTTTGGGAAAAACAGCCCCCCACACTGATGCTACTTCCTTAGAGCAAATGAAAAATGTGATTGGATTAGAACAATTTTATTCCATTTTGGCCAAGGGAATTGTGTTATCTGGTCAAGGACAAGAATCCTAAAAATGCAATGCAGGCATCTGAATATGCTGATTCCATCAGTGAGATTAGAGATCTTCGATTTTCTGAGGTAAAAATTGGTAGAAAAATGTGGGACGACAGGTCGAGAGGGCTCCCATCTGGTAGAGATTACCTCAGAAGTACGCAAGCTACTGGAATTCATTTTAGAGACAAGAGCACAGTCACCTGAAACCTAATAGTTCTGAGGGAAAAGTTAATAAGGCCATTTATTTTGAACCCAAGGCCAGTAAACAATGCTATGCGTGTGGACAGAAAGGTCATTTTTGGGTGCAATATGAAACTCAAAAGAATAGGGATTTTAACCAGCATAAAGATGGAAATTCCAGTCAGCCTAAGAAGGTGTTTTGTGTGCAGCATAATAAGGCACAGCAATCGGCAGTTGAAGTTGAGGCTTCTTCCCGCCACAGCACGATTGCTAAGTGGTTGCTAAGGAAACTGACTTGGCAGAGTACCCAGACATTCCAGAAGTGAGAGTGATACAATGTTTCCTAATTCAGTGCAATCAGGATTTATTGAATAACTCTGCAGAGCCTATTTTCATTGACAACATAAAGTATCTGGCTCTGAAAGATACATGTTCCCAAGTTATTATTTATCACTCAGACATCATTCCTGAGGAGAATATGTTAGAACAAAACATCACCCTCAAAGGCATTAGTTCAGACATAGTGGTGCTGCCAATGGCCAAAGTAGGAGAAACCAGGGGTGGTGTGGTACAGTATATGGAAAGTAGTAGTGTCAGACCAAATCCTTGCTCCTTGTTTGATTGGCTTAGACCTCTCCAAGCACGTGCAGAGTGTTTTAGTAGTAACCCGCTTCCAGGGCAAGCAAATTACAGTCCCTGAGGAAAGACTGGGAACCCTAACTCTGAATCAAACACGGGATGTCCCAGTCTGGAGGAAAACCCTGAAGTAGCAGAAATGGCTGAGGCTTGTGTGATGAAAAGGCCTGGGAAAGAGCATTCTGTCCCAAGGATGAAGTGGTGATGCTGAGACCCATAGAGGGGAGTGAGTTGCAGCTAGCATGGTCAGGACCTGTAGATGTGTTACGACAGCACTGGAAAGCTGAGGAGGCTAGTATTGGGAAGTCTCCACCTGCAGCTGCCAAAGCACTTAAAATAATGCAAGCAAACCCCTACCTGAGAAACCCGAGATTAAAGGGGTAGAACCATATGATGAAAATCTTGAAACATCAGAAATAAGCCAATTGTGTGAGATGGCACTTAAAAGAAACTTGCCTATGAATTTTGAGGTGAGTCAGGATAGTGGTTCCCCACATATGGAGAGTGTTGCAACAAAAGTACTTGTGGGCCAGTTTGTGGGTAAGAGTAAAAGCAAGAGCAATAATATCTCAAAGAAGGATGCAGCCATAGATGTTCTGGAGGAGGGGAAGAAACTGCCTACTCTTTCACCCAGTTGAGAAAATGAAGCCACTACCTGAAGAGAAAACTGGCTTAACCCTGAAAAGGCTAGCCAAGGACATCCAGTGGATGTCAGAGTGTCAAGTGGCTGTTGATTGTCTGAAGAAAGTGCGGACTTCAAGCCCTGTCCTTGTTGCACCGAACTCCAACTGGGAGTTAATTGTGTACATTGATATGTCGAGTATGGGTCTGGAAGCCAAGCAGATGACAGCGGTAATCTACACCCAGTGACTTTCATCAGCAGGAGACTCCAACCTGGTGAGAGACATTTGTCTGCGATTGAGAGGGCATGTCTATCCATTGTCTGGACACTGCAGAAAATGAAGCCCTACATTAGGGGAAGGAAGTCTTAAATGTTTAAAGTGGTAAGTTTGATTTGGTAAACAGTAATAGAGATAAAATTGAAGAGTGGAGGACAAATACAAGTAGCCCCAGAGCTAATGAAGTGATTGGGCCAAAGCCGAAAGGCTTGACATCCTGGGCGTCAGTGAACTAAAATGGACAGGAATGGGCGAATTCAGTTCAGATGATTATCATATCTACTATTGTGGGCAAGAAGCCCTTAGAAGGAATGGAGTAGCCCTCCTGGTCAACAAAAGAGTGGGAAAAGCTGTAATGGGATATAATCTCAAAAATGATAGAATGATGTTAATACGAATACAAGGCAGACCTTTCAACATCACAGTAATCCATGTTTATGCACCAACCGCCAATGCTGATGAGACTGAAATTGACCAATTCTATGAAGACTTACAACACCTTCTAGAAATGATACCAAAGAAAGATGTTCTTCTCATTTTAGCAGAGTGGAATGCTAAAGTAAGGAATCAAGAGATAAAAGGAACAACAGGCAAGTTTGGCCTTGGAGTTCAAAATGAAGCAGGGCAAAGGCTAACAGAGTTTTGTCAAGAGAACAAGCTGGTCATCACAAACACTCTTTTCCAACAACACAAGAGGTGACTTTACACATGGATATCACCAGATGGGCAATACCGAAATCAGATTGACTATGTTCTCTGCAGCCAAAGATGGAGAAGCTCTATACAGTCAGCAAAAACAAGACCTGGAACTGATTGTGGCTCTGATCATCAGCTTCTCATAGCAAAATTCAGGCTTAAACTGAAGAGAGTAGGAAAAACCACTAGGCTAATCAGGTATAATATAAACCAAGTCCCTTATGAGTACACAATTGAAGTGAATAACAGATTTAAGAAACTCGATTTGGTGGACAGATGCCCGAAGAACTTTGGATAGAGGCTTGTAATATTGTACAGGAGGCAGCAACAAAAACCATCCTAAAGAAAAGGAAATGCAAGAAAGCCAAGTGGCTGTCCAACAAGGCCTTACAAATAGCAGAGAAGAAAAGGGAAACAAAATGCAAGGGAGATAGGGAAAGTTACAGAAAACTGAATGCAGACTTCCAAAGAATAGCAAGGAGAGACGAGAGGGCCTTCTTAAATGAACAATGCAAAGAAATATAGGAAAATAATAGAAAAGGAAAAACCAGAGATCTGTTCAGGAAAATTGGAGATATTAAAGGAACATTTTGTGCAGAGATGAACATGATAAAGGTCAAAAATGGTAGGGACCACGCAGAAGCAGAAGATTCAAGAAGAGGTGGCAAGAATACACAGAGGAACTATACCAGAAAGA